TGGTCATCTGTCAGGAGGGATTGGATTGTGCTGAGAGAATGGGATTGGACTGGGTGGCCCTTGGTGTCCCTTCCAATTCTACTATTCAATAATAATAATAATAATTATTATTATTATTATTATTATTTTCAACTGTAGGATTCTATCACCCTATTTCTCCATCAACATTTATATACTATCATATATTATATTATTATGCAATTCTTTGCCTTCCTCTTTTCAACCCAAACAGGGCTATAAGATTCTATAGCCGTATTTCTCCATCAACCTTCTAAGGAGTGTACTGTTATACAATATTATTATATTATTATGCAATTCTATAATAATAAGGCTTTCAACTCTAGCATTTTGTGGCCCTATTTCTCCATCAACATTATTATTCTATCATACGATATTATTATATTATTCTTTGCCTTCTTCCTTTTCAGCCCAAACATCAGTCTCCCAGCTTGGAAGAGGAGCCCGAAGCCTGTGCCACCGAGATCCAAACAGCCGGATGAGAAAAACAGGGCTTTGCTTGCGTTTCCGTCTTTGCGGCGACGAGGGGTTCATCTCCTTTTCCTCCGTCCATCTTCCTTAAACCGGGAGCAGGTCTCTCTGGACAGGTACGCAGTCGGGTGCGTCCTGATTGATCGTTTGCCTTTTCGAACAAGAGACTCAAGAGGTGCCAAAATCATGGATTTTTTCTTTTCTTTGTAATTAAAAAGAGGAAATAAAAGACCCAAAGGGGGCTCTACAAGGGAAGACGCGTCCTGCTTTCTCTGAAAAAGGAACAGCTCGGCCGGTAGAGGCAGGCCCCAAAGCAAAGCCTTGGAAAGCTGTTGCCCTCCAGACTGGGGATTCTGGGGTTTGTGATCCAGGAGAGGAGGCCTTCGAGTCCAATTCCTCAAATCCTCCAGGGGAAGAAGGAGAAAAGGAAGGGAAAGAAGGAGAGAGAAAGAAGGAAAAGGAAAAAGAGAAGAAAAAGGGAAGGATGAGAGTGAGAAAGAAGAAAAGGGAAGGAAAGGAGAAAAGGAAGGATGTGTATGGAAAAAAGAGAAAAGGGAGGAGAAAAGAGGGAAAGAAGTAGGGAGAAGGGTGGAAAAGAAGAAAGGGAAGAGGGAAGAAAAAGAAGGGTAGGATGAGCAGGAGGAAGGAAAGGGAAGGAAGAGGGAAGAAAAGGAATGAGAAACAGGAGGGAAGGAAGTAAAAAGGAGGGAAGGGGCCAAAGAATGGAGAAAAGGAAGAAGAAAAGGAAAGGAAGGAAAGAGAAAAGAAGGAAGTAAAGAGGAATGGAGAAAATGAGTGGAAAAAGAAAAGGGAGGGAAGGAAGGGAGAAAGAAAAAAGAAGAGGGAAGGATGAGAGGAAGGAGAAGATGGAATGCAGGAAGGAGGGAGAAGGAAGAAGAGAAGGTTGAGTGAGAAAGTAAGGAGGAAAAGGAGGGAAGGAAGAAAAAAGGGAGTGTAGGAGGGACAGAAGAAAAGGAAGGAGATAGGGGAGACAAAGAAGGAAGGAAAAGAGAAAAGGGAGGGAAAGAAGGCCAGGAAGGAAGGAGGGAGAAAGGAGGAAAAGAAGAATGGGAAGGAAGGGAAGGATGAGAGGGAGGGAGGAGAAAAGTGAAAGAGCGAAGAAACAGAAGGATGTGTAAGGAAGGAAGGAAAAAAGGAAAGATGGAAGGAGGGAGAAAGGAAAAAGAAGAAAGGGACGATGGAAGGATGAGAGGAAGAAAGGAGAAAAGGGAAGAGGGAAGAAAAGGAAGGATGAGTGAGAAGGGAAGGAGAAAAGGGAGGGGAAGAGAAAAGAAGGAAGGAAAGAATGAAGGAAAAAAGGGAGGGAAGGAGGGAAAGAAGGGAGAAAAGGGAAAGATGGGAGGGAGAAAGGAAAAAAGGGAAGGAGAAAGGGAAGAAGGAAGGAAAAAGAGGGAAGAAGGGATGGAGGGAGGAAAGAAAGAAAGAAGAGGAAAAAGGAGGGAGAAGAGGAAGAAAGGTTGATAGGAGAAAAAGGACAGGAATTCATAAAGCATGTATAAAGAGCATAAATGCCTCTTTAAAACGGAGCCAGAATGGGATTCCTTTCATACTGTATCACAGCAAAAAAAAAAAAAAAATGTGACCAGCAATTTTATTTTTTCACATTCTTTTTTGAGCACAATGATATTTTTGTTTATTTTTAGGAAACAGAATTTATTCGTTTTGACACTTCCGACAGGTTTATTTTGTTTTGTTTTTGTAATACAGTACAGTGTATTTGTTTTTAGTTTTTTTCCCATAGAAGTAAACTTGACAAAAAGAGAGAGAGTGGAATGTCTCGTGTGAAAGCATCCCCGAAACAGAAACCTTTCTACTGGAAATTTAAATAAGGGAGAGGAATGAGGTTGAGGGGAAAGAAAGGAAATGTGAGCCCAAAAATGTGGTAAAAACCCAGCCTTTCCCAAATTGTCTTATTTTAAGGGGGAAAATTTGCACACTTCTCTCTCTCGATGCGGCATCGCTTTCTCTCTCTCTCTCTCTCCTTTAAAATAAGTCTTTCTCTGTGTTTGTATATATTTATATATATATATACAAATACATGGATCAGTAACAACTCACAAGCAACTGGAAAAAAGAAACCGTCACGGCGATACCTTGTTTTTTCTTAAAAAATAAAAAGGACGTAAAAACGTCGCACAAAAAAAAAAAAGACACCAAAAACCACGGCACGGCGAGGTCCACAAGCACGGCACAACCTACGTCTATGTACAAGGGTACCGGGAGGGAGAAAACACCCCAAAATCTTCCTTTCTCTCTGATTGTTCTGTACACCGAGGAAGACAAGGAAGGGCAGGAAAGCAGGGCCAAGGGGTGGGGATCTATACAAGCTGGAAGGAAGGGAAAGCATCCCTTTTGCAGGGCGGAAAAGAATGGGATCCAAGGAACGATGTCCCCAAACCCACCTTATGTTGGGAGGAAAGAGGGATAAATAAATGACCGACAAGTCGGAGAGGGTCTTGATCTGCATCTGGACACAACTGCAAGCCGAGATCTCGTAAGAACTCGTATCAACTTACACAAAACTATAGGGCCACATCCGTTGGTAACAATGTAGCGAAACTAGTCTTCAATTGGGAGGAAAGAGGGATGATGAATATAAATGACCACCAAGTTGGGTCTTGGTCCGCATATGGACACAACTGCAAGCCAAGATCTCCTACCGTATCTCGCAAGTCAAGATCTCAGAAGAACTTGTATCAACTTATACAAAAAGTATAGGGTCGCTGCGGTTGGTAACAATGTGTCGAAACCAGTCTTACAATGGGAGGAAAGAGGGATGATTAACATAAATGACTGCCGAGTCAGAGAGGGTCTTGGTCCGCATCTGGACGCAATTGCAAGCCTAAATCTCGTATTGTGTCATATTTTGTAAGCCGAGATCTTGTAAGTCGCCCGAAGGGCTGAGAAAAGCGGTATATAAATGGAGTAAATAAATAAAATAATAATAAATAAGAACTTGTATCAACTTAAGACAAAAACTATAGGGCTGTATCCGTTGGTAACAATGTACCAAAACCAGTGTTATATTGGGAGGAAAGAGGGATAATATAAATAAATGACCTGCCAAGTTGGAGAGGGTCTTGATTCGCATCTTGACTCAATTGCAAGCCAAGATCTCATGTTGTGTTGTATCTTGCAAGCTGAGGTCTTGTATCGTATCTTGCAAGCTGTCAGAACTCCTATCAACTTAGACAAAAAGTATAGGGCCGCATCTGTTGATAACAATGTACCGAAACCAGTCTTATATTGGGAGGAAAGAGGGATGAGAAACATAAATGACCACCAAGTTGGAGAGGGCCTTGGTCTGCATCTGGACGCAACTGCAAGCCAAGATCTTATATTGTATCTTGCAAACTGATATCTTGTAAGAACTCGTATCAACTTAAGACAAAAAGTATAGGGCCGCATCTGTTGGTAACAACATACCGAAACCAGTCTTATATTGGAAGAAAAGAGGGATGATAAACATTAATGACCGCCAAGTTGGAGAGGGTCTAGATTAGCCTCGAGATGCAATTGCAAACCAAAATCTCGTATCGTATCTCGTCAGAACTCCTATCAACTTAGATAAAAGTATAGGACCGCATCCGTTGGAAATGATGTATCGAAACCAATCTTATATTGGGAGGAAAGAGGGATAAATAAATGACCGAGTCAAAAAGGGTCCTGAACCGCATCTGGACACAACTGCAAGCCAACATTTTGTATATTATCATATCTTGCAAGCCAAGATCTCATCAGAACTCATATCAACTTAGACAAAAAGTATAGGGCCTCATCCGTCGGCAACGATGTACCGAAACTAATATTGGGTCATTTGGTGGAAGAAAAGTGTGATACTTATTAAGAATTACTATTACTGGAAGGAAAGAGGGATAGATAAATGTCTGCCAAGTCAGAGAGGGTCTTGGTTCACATCTGGACGCAACTGAAAACCACGATCTCATATCGTATCATATCTTGCAAGCCAAGAAGAACTTGTAGTAACTTAGACAAAAATTATAGGGCCGCATACGTTCGTAAAGATGGACTGAAACCAGTCTTATATTGAGAAGAAAGAGGGATAATATAAATAAATGGTTGCCAAGTCAGGGAAGGTCCTGGCCCGCATCTGGTCATAATTGCAGGATCCAAGAAACCCATAATTTCTGATTTACAGGGTCAGATCTGTCACCAAAAATGTGTGCAAGCCAGTCTTATATTGGGAGGAAAGAGTAGTAATAAGTGAACTCCAAGGCGGAAAGGGTACTGTCCCAAATCTAGCCACAATTCCAAGCCAAGATCCAAGAAACTCATATTAACAATTGCAAAGATCTGAGAAACTTGTTTCTTACATTGGGAGGAAAGAGGGATGATAAACATAAATGACCGCCAAGTCTGAAAGTCCTGGTCCACATCTGGCAGTAATTGCAAGCCAAGATCTCGTATTTTATTGTATCTTGCAAGCCAAAATCTTGTAAGAACTCGTATCAACTTAGACAAAAGTATAGGGCTGCATCCGTTGGTAACAAAGTACCAAAACCAGTCTTACATTGGGAGGAAAGAGGGATAAATAAATGGCAACCAAGTCGGAGAAGGTCTTGGTTCATATCTGGCCGCAATTGCAAGCCAAGATCTTGTATCACATAGTATCTTGCTAAGATCTCGTAAGACCTTGCATCAACTTAGACAAAAAGTATAGGGCCATATCCGTCGACAACGATGTACCGAAATCAGTCTTATATTGGGAGGAAAGAGGATAAATAAATGGCAACCAAGTCGGAGAAGTCTTGGTTCATATCTGGCCACAATTGCAAGCCAAGATCTTGTATCACATAGTATCTTACAGGCTAAGATCTCATAAGACCTTGCATCAACTTAGACAAAAAATATAGGGTAATATCCGTCGACAACGATGTACCCAAACCAGTCTTGTATTGGGAAGAAAGAGGATAAATAAATGGCAACCAAGTCGGAGAAGGTCTTGGTTCATATCTGGCTGCAATTGCAAGCCAGGATCTTGTATCACATAGTATCTTACAGGCTAAGATCTCGTAAGACCTTGTATCAACTTAGACAAAAAATATAGGGCCATATCCGTCGACAACGATGTACCCAAACCAGTCTTGTATTGGGAAGAAAGAGGATAAATAAATGACTGCCTAACTGGAGAGCGTCACGCATCTGACTGCAATTGCAAGCCAAGATCCAAGAAACCTGTATTAAATTAGACAGGATATAGGGCTGCATCTGTTGGCAACGATGTGCCGAAACCAGTCTTATATTGGGAAGAAAGGATAATATAAATAAATGACCGCGAAGGTGGAAAGGGTCCTGGCCCACATCCAGACACAATTGCAAGCCAAGATCCAAGAAACTTATCAACTGAGACAAAGTAGGACCGTATCCATTGGTAACATATACCAAAACAAGTCTTATATTGGGAGGAAAGAGGGATAATATAAATAAATGGCCGCCAAGTCAGAGAGAGTCCTGAATCTGTCCGCAATTGCAAGCCATGATCCAAGAAACCCGTATCACCTTGGACAAAAGTATAGGGCCACATCAGTCGGCCATGATGTACCGAAACCAGTCTTCTACTGGGAAGCAAGAAGGATAATAATAAATAATTGCCACCAAGTCGAAGAAGGTCCTGGACCACATCTAGACGCAATAATTTCTGAATTACAGGGTCACACTGGTTGGTAATGAAATACCAAAACCAGTCTTATGCTGGGAGAAAGGAGGGGTAATACAAATAACAGCAAATGAAAGAAATTCTCAATCTGGCCAAGCAAAACGTGCTAGGGAGAGGGTTGCAGAGATGGAAGAAAAAACAACAACAATGTGTTATCGGGAGAAAAAATGGAAGTCAATACAGGTCAATCCATACAGTGCATTACCAACTTCACAATCCGTAAGAGGGTCCCTTTATTGGGTTTAATAAAGCCCTTCCCTCTTTGCTCCCCTCCTCAGAATTCATGACCGTAAAAGGAATGCTAGCTTAGCAGAATTGGGGAAGGAAGACAGCCCATTATTTTTGGACAACAAACCCCACAATGAGTCTTCCAATGAGCCAGAAATGGGCCAGGAAAGACCCCTCCCCCCCAAAAGAGCCAATGGAGGCAAAAAAGGGAGGGATGGTCAGGAAGTACACCGAAAGGAAGTATAAATATGTAGAGACAAATAAATAAATAAATATGTTAATAATTAAAAGCCACCACCCCTTCTTCCATCCCGGGGAAGGGGTCTGGACAAACGGGGGGTGCTCCGGGGTCCCCGTCCCCCCATAACGCAAAGGGGGTAGAAGCCAGGGGGAGGAATGGGGGGTGTTTTGGGGCGCCGGCCGGAGTCTCTTAGCAGGCACAGTCCTGGTGGGGGGGCGCTTGCTGGTCGCTCAGCTGGGGGCCCTGCTTGGCCCCGGTCACCGCCGGGTCGGCCGCATCCAGCGACTCGGACATCTTTTCGCAGATGATGTCCACCAGGCGCTCGAAGGTCTGCTTGACGTTGATGTTATCCTTGGCGCTGGCCTCAAAGAACTCGAACCCTGCAGAGAAGGAGGGGACACAAGCCGGGATGATGATTCTAGTGTTGGGAGAGACCCATTTCGATAGATAAGAAATAGACACATAGACTCCTAGCGTTTGAAGAGACCCCAAAGGACAGCCAGTCCAACCCCTTAATTGTTAAGTTTCTCAACTCCAATTGTGTTGCTGTGGAGTAGTCTTCTCTCAAAGAACACACCAAGACACACATGGGCTGAAGATACCATACCTCTTTATAGTTCAGAATACAAGAGTCTGGCACTACTGCCCTTCTACATAGACCTTGCTACAATATCATAAATCACTCAAGAGTTCTGGTGCCTGGAGTTTGCCCCATTCTACATTCCAGAGCCAACTATCCTCCCACCTCAGGGCAATTGAGTTTTATGGCTGGTTCATATACCCTGTCCTCTCTTGTGCACAAGGCCATGTGCTGTGTGTCAGAATGGCTGATAGTTGGGTGGCATGAGATAGGGATCATGACATCAATCTAGATCGATAGATAGAATCCTAGAGTTGGAAGTAACCAGTCCTATCCCTTTAAACAGATGGAAGGACAGATAGACAGACAGGCAGGATAGATAGATGGATTGAATCTTAGAGTTGGAAGAAATAGATAGATAGATAGATAGATAGATAGATAGATAGATCACTTTAGACCAGTGGTTCTCAACCTGGGGTCCCCAGATGTTTTTGGCCTTCAACTCCCAGAAATCCTAACAGCTGCTAAACTGGCTGGTATTTCTGGGAATTGTAGGCCAAAAACATCTGGGGACCCCAGGTTGAGAACCACTGCTTTAGACAGATAGATATGTGGATGGAAGGAATCCTAGAGTTGGAAGTGACCATCCCTCTAGGCAGATTGATGGAGGGATAGATACGATAGATAGAATCCATAGATAGACAAAATAGATAGATCTATATAAATAAAAATGTAATGTCTGTTTGTGGGATTAACAGAACTCAAAAACCACTAGACGAATTGACACCAAATTTGGACACAAGACACCTAACAACCCAATGTATGTCCTTCACTCAAAAAAATGATTTTGTCATTTGGGAGTTGTAGTTGCTGGGATTTATAGTTCACCTACAATCAAAGAACATTCTGAAGCCCACCAACGATGGAATTGAACCAAACTTGGCACACAGTTCTCCCACGACCAACAGAAAATACTGGAAGGGTTTGGTGGACAGTGTCCTTTGGTTTTGGAGTTGTACTTCAGCTACATCCAGAGATCACTGTAGACTCAAATAATGATGGATCTGGACCAAACTCTACAAGAATACTCAATATACCCAAATGTGAACACTGGTGGAGTTTGAGGGAAATAGAATCTTGACATTTGGGAGTTGTACTTGCTGGGATTTATAGCTCACCTACAATCACAGTGCATTCTGAACACCAATGATACAATTGGGCCAAACCTCCAACACAGAACCCCCATGTGGGCCACAGCAACGCGTGGCAGGGGACGGCTAGTAAATAGATAGAATGCTAGAGTTGGAAGTGAACAGTGACATCCTTTTAGACAGGAGGATGGATGGATAGATATAATCCTAGAGTTAGAAGTGAACAGTGGCATTCCTTTAGGCAGATACATGAATGGATAGATAGATTAGATAGATAGATAGATAGATAGATAGATAGATAGATAGATAGATAGATAGATAGATAGATAGGTGGTAGATGGATGGAATCCTAAAGTTGGAAGTAACCAGTGACATCCCTTTAGGCAATAGATGGGTGGATAGATAGATAAGATAGAATCCTAGAGTCAGACTTGACCAGTGACATCCGTTTAGACAGATAGATGGATAGAAAGATAGATAGAATTGATAGATAGACTCCAAGGAAGAAAGACAAGGTACAAAATGAACACCCAAGCCCTTCAGGAGGCCTCCAAACGAGCCCATCTTCAAACAGCACTCAAGGACCATCTACCCACAGAACACCCTGAAAATGTTGAGGAACATTGGAACAAACTGAAGACCTCCATCATCACAGCCTGTAAAGAAACTATTGGATATCAAACCAAGAAACATCAAGATTGGTTTGACGAAAATGACAACGAGATCCAACAGCTAATTGACAAGACAAGAAAAGCCTTCCAAACATGGCAGAGAGACATCAACTGTGCTGCTAAGAAAAAGATCTACACCAGCGCAAAAGCTGAGGTCCAAAGGACAAGAGAACTCAAGAACATCTGGTGGACAAAGAAGGCTGAAGAAATCCAACACCTGGCAGATACCCATAATGCTCAGGGATTTTTCAAAGCCACAAAGGTCATCTATGGACCAAGAAACCATGGCATACAGCCTCTATGCTCATCAGATGGAACCAAACTCCTGAAGGACCAAAACTCAATTGCACTACATTGGAAAGAACACTACCAAAGCCTCCTGAACCGCAGCTCCAATGTGGCCAAAGAGGTTCTCTCACAAATCCCGCAACAACAAACCAGGGATGAGCTTGCAGCACTGCCTAGTTTGGAAGAAGTCAGCAATGCCATCAGCCAACAAAAAAATAACAAAGCCAGCAGACCTGATGGGATCCCTGCTGAAATCTTTAAAGAGGGAGGACCTGAGCTGACACAACTCCACCAGCTCATAGAAAAAGTGTGGGTGACCGAGAAAATCCCAGCAGATTTCAAGGATGCCACCATCATCACCCTCTTCAAAAAGGGAAAGAACAGACTGCGGAAACTATCGAGGTATCTCCCTTCTAACCTCCGCTGGGAAAATCCTCACAAGAATCCTTGCAAACCGCCTTCTGACCCTCTCAGAAGACACCCTCCCAGAATCCCAGAACGGCTTCCGCCCCTCCAGAGGAACCGTGGACATGATCTTCACTGCACGACAGCTCCAAGAAAAATGCAGGGAACAAAACCAACCTCTGTACATGGCATTCATCGACCTTGCAAAGGCATTCGACACAGTGAATCGCAGCGCTCTCTGGACCATCCTCCACAAAATCGGGTGCCCAAACAAATGTGTGAACATCCTGCGGCTCCTCCACGATGACATGATGGCAACAGTCTTGGACAGCAATGGCTCCCAAAGTGACCCATTTAAGGTGGAATCAGGTGTCAAACAGGGATGTGTTGTTGCCCCAACTTTTTTCTCCATCTTCATCACTATGATACTTCACCTTGTTGATGGGAAGCTTCCCACCGGAGTGGAAATCATCTATCGGACAGATGGCAAGCTATTCAACCTCAGCAGACTGAAAGCCAAAACCAAGGTTACAACAACATCTGTTATAGAACTCCAGTATGCTGATGACAACGTCATCTGTGCGCATTCAGAAGAAGATCTACAAGCCACTCTAAACACCTTTGCAGAAGCAGACGAGAAGCTTGGCCTGTCATTAAACATCGAGAAAACCAAAGTGCTCTTCTAGCAGTCACCAGCCAATCCCTTTCCAATGCCAGAGATACAGCTTAATGGGAGATGGCACTGAGGTTATAACCCAGACCTCTTATTTGTGAGCGACAGCATTGTACAGCAATGCACTAAATCAGTGGGACCACCAATCCCAAACACACAGCACCGACCAATAGTATGCCCACAGTTCCCAACAATAAGGCCCCAGGAAGTTCGATTTAAACAAAGATTCAACTTCAGAAAGGCAGATTGGACTAAATTCTCAGACATGTTAGATGACATGATCATATCGGTCGTGCCAATCCCTGAGAAATACGAGCACTTTATTGAAATAGTGAAAACCTGCTCACGGGCCTCTATACCGAGAGGCTGCAGAACCAACTACCTTCAGGGCATTACTCCTGAAACAGCTGCCTTGTTGGAAAACTATTACAGGCTCCACAACGAAGACCCATTTAGTGAGCAAACCCTTCAGGCAGCGCAGAGCATTGTGTCCTCCATCTCTGAAGCCAAGAAAGAACAGTGGATCAAGCTGATCACAGAGGTCAACATGGGCAGGAGCAGCCAGAAGGCGTGGAGGCTGCTAAGACGGTTGAGCAATGACCCATCACAAACTAATACCCATGCCAACATAAAGGCACATCAGATAGCACACCAACTCCTGAAGAATGGGAAACCCAACCTTGCCACCAAAGTAGGAAAGAAACCAATAGCCAGACAACCAGATAATGAGAACAACCTTCATGAACCCTTTACATCTACTGAATTGGACATGGCTCTCAATAAATGTAAAAATGGCAAAGCAGCTGGCCTGGATTATCTATGCATGGAACAAATCAAGAACTTTGGTCCAAAAGCAAGGCACTGGCTGCTGGAGCTGATGAACAACTGCACTGCATCCTGTCAGATCCCCAAAATCTGGAGGAAAGCAAGCGTCATCACCATCTTGAAGCCAGGCAAAGACTGTAATGATCCAATAAGCTATAGACCAATCTCCCTGTTGTGCCACCTCTACAAAGTTCTATTTTGCATAGAATTATGGAAACAATAGACCCATGTCTGATTCCAAAGCAAGCTGGGTTCAGGAAAGGCAAAAGCTGCACATCGCAAGTGCTGAACCTGACTCAGCACATAGAAGATGGCTTTGAAAGGCAGCAGATCACAGGAGCTGTCTCCATAGACCTGTCAGCAGCTCATGATACTGTAAACCACCGCCTCTTTCTGAGAAAAATGTATAATATCACAAAGGACTACCACCTCACCTGCCTCATAGGAAACCTGCTACAAAACAGGAGCTTTTTTGTTGAGTTTCAGGGCCAGAGAAGCAGATGGCGGAAACAGAAGAACGGCCTGCCTCAGGGGAGCGTGCTTGCTCCATCCATGTTCAACATCTACACAAATGACCAGCCACTGCCAGAAGGGACAGAGAGTTTCATCTATGCTGATGATCGTGCCATTACCTCAAGCAGGGAGCTTTGAGATGGTAGAACAGAAGCTCTCCAAAGCTCTAGGTGCTCTTACTGCCTATTACAGGGAAAACCAGCTGATCCCTAATCCATCTAAAACACAGACATGTGCTTTTCATCTCAAGAACAGACAAGCACCCCGAGCTCTGAGGATGGCCTGGGAAGGAATCCCACTGGAGCATTGCAGCACATCCAAATACCTGGGAGTCACTCTGGACCGTGCTCTGACCTACAAGAAACACTGCCCGAATATCAAGCAAAAAGTGGGTGCTAGAAACAAAAGTTCTTGATTTGTTCCATATATTATATTATACACACACACAAACACACACACTTCCATAATAATCTGACCATATAAATATGTTTCATATAATTTCCCCTCTACTCTGGAGGTTGGATGGCCATCTGTCAGGAGGGTTTTGGCTGTGCCTTCCTGCCTGGCTGATGGGGGCTGGACGAGATGCCCTCTGGGGGACCCTCCCCACCCTGTGTGTTCCGTGTTCCTTTCCCACTGCTCCACTCACCCAGGTGTTCAGCCAGCTGGCGTCCCCGCTCCGAGGAGACTACCCTCTCGTCCTCCATGTCGCACTTATTGCCCACCAGCAGCACCTGCGCATTGTCCCACGAGTAGGTCTTGATCTGGGTGGACCTGGAGGGAGGAGGAGGAAAGGAGGAAAATGCCTGGCCTCCCCCCTTTCCTTTCTCTTCCTCCTTTCCCTTCTTTTTCTCTTTCTTCCTTCCTTTTCCTTCCCTCCCTTCCTTTTCTCCTCCCTTTCTTTCCCTTCTTTTTCTTTTTTCTTCTTTTCCTTTCCATCCACTCATACTTTTTCTCCTTTTCTTTCTTTCCTTCTCTTCTTTTTCCTTTCTTTTCTCTTACTTCTTTATCTTCTTTTTCTTCCTTCCTTCCTCTACCTTTTCTCCTTTCTTCCTTCTTTTCTTTTCTTCTTCCTTTCCTTCCTTCCTTTCTCCTTTCTTTCACAACTTTCCTTTCCTTTTCTATCCACCCTTTCCTTCCCTTCACACCTTTTCTCCTTTCCTTTCTCTTCTCTTCCTTCTTTCTTTTTCTTTTCCTTTCCTTCCCTTCACACCTTTTCTCCTTTCCTTTCTCTTCTCTTCCTTCTTCTCTCCATCTTTTCCTTCCCTTCCCTTCACACCCTTTCTCCTTTCCTTTCTCTTCCTTCTTCTCTCTTTCTTTTCCTTTCCCTCCCTTCACACCTTTTCTCCTTTCCTTTCCCTTCTTTTCCTCTTTCTTTCCTTTCCCTCCCTTTACCACTTTTTCCTTTCCTCGCTTTTCTTTCCTTCACATCTTTCTCCTTTTCTTTCTCTTCCTTCTTTCCCTTCTTCTCTTTCTTCCTTCCTTTCCTTTCCCCTCACACCTTTTCTTCTTTCCTTTCTTTCCCTCCTTTTCTCCTTTCTTTCCCCTTTCATCCTTTCCCTTCTTTTTCTCTTTCCCTCCCTTCACAACTTTTTCCTTTCCTCTTTTCTTTCCTTCACACCTTTTCTAATTTGTTTTCCTTCTTTCCCTTCTTCTATCTTTCTTTTCTTTTCCCTCCGTTCACACCTTTTCTCCTTTCCTTTCCCTTCTTTTCCTCTTTCTTTCCCTCCCTTTACCACTTTTTCCTTTCCTCTCTTTTCTTTCCTTCACATCTTTCTCCTTTTCTTTCTCTTCCTTCTTTCCCTTCTTCTCTTTCTTCCTTCCTTTCCTTTCCCCTCACACCTTTTCTTCTTTCCTTTCTTTCCCTCCTTTTCTCCTTTCTTTCCCCTTTCATCCTTTCCCTTCTTTTCCTCTTTCTTTCCTTTCCCTCCCTTCACAACTTTTTCCTTTCCTCTTTTCTTTCCTTCACACCTTTTCTAATTTGTTTTCCTTCTTTCCCTTCTTCTATCTTTCTTTTCTTTTCCCTCCGTTCACACCTTTTCTCCTTTCCTTTCCCTTCTTTTCCTCTTTCTTTCCCTCCCTTTACCACTTTTTCCTTTCCTCTCTTTTCTTTCCTTCACATCTTTCTCCTTTTCTTTCTCTTCCTTCTTTCCCTTCTTCTCTTTCTTCCTTCCTTTCCTTTCCCCTCACACCTTTTCTTCTTTCCTTTCTTTCCCTCCTTTTCTCCTTTCTTTCCCCTTTCATCCTTTCCCTTCTTTTTCTCTTTCTTTCCTTTCCCTCCCCTCACACCTTCTCTTTTCCTTTCTCTTTCTTTTTTCCCAGATCTTCAAAGGAAGACTCACCAGTCCTGGACGGCGTTGAAAGACTCCTCGTTGGTAATGTCGTACATCAGGATGAAGCCCATGGCGCCGCGGTAGTAAGCGGTGGTGATGGTCCGGTACCGCTCCTGCCCAGCCGTGTCCTGACAGAGAAAGGGCATCATTTACCCCTATTTACTCCAATCTTATGCCCACCTTTTTAATGTTGAAATGCCTCGCAAAGAATTATTATTATTATTATTATTATTATTATTATTATTATTATTATTACTATTGGGTCCAAGCCAAAGGGGAAGCTGCACCTGGAGCCCTTCTTTGCAGGACATCATCTCTCATCGAGGTGGCCACATCTATGTAATAGTATAGTGTAATAAAGTGATGGGCAACCTTTTCAGGTTGGTGTGTCAAAATCTGCCAAAAAAACCCGAGCATAATTCAGGTGGGGTGCCACTTTGAGAAAAATTTTGCGATATTTATAGTTTAAATAACAAAAATGCATAATGGGAGGATAAATTCTTTAACTAAGCTGCCTATTAGTGACTTTTTTTGTTGCTGATTTTCATTGACTAAACGTTCAATTGAAGGTTGGCATTTTGTACACTTCAAGCCCAAGCATGATCCAAATATACGCCCCAACCACAGCTGCTGAAGAAGCAGAAGTAGATCAGTTCTATGAGGATCTGCAGGACCTACTGGATAATACACCAAAAAGAGACATTATTTTCATTACAGGAGACTGGAATGCCAAGGTGGGAAGTCAAATGACAACAGCGATCACAGGCAAGCATGGTCTGGGAGAACAAAATGAAGCGGGACGCAGGCTGATAGAATTTTGCCAGGAAAACTTGCTGTGCATAACAAACACTCTCTTCCAACAACCTAAAAGATGGCTTTACACATGGACTTCACCATGTGTAAATGGTGGTCAGCACCGAAATCAGATTGACTACATCCTTTGCAGCCAAAGGTGTCGGACATCCATCCAGTCGGTGAAAATCAGATTGACTACATCCTTTGCAGCCAAAGGTGGCGGACATCCATCCAGTCGGTGAAAACAAGACCTGGGGCTGACTGTAGCTCAGATCACGAACTTCTTATTGCCAAATTTAGAATAAAACTAAAGAGCAGGGAAAATACACAGACCAGTTAGATATGATCTCACTAACATTCCTAGCGAATATACAGTGGAAGTGAAGAACAGATTTGAAGGACTAGATTTAGTAAACAGAGTCCCAGAAGAACTATGGACAGAAGTCCGCGACATTGTTCAGGAGGCGGCAACAAAGTACGTCCCAAAGAAAAAGAAAACGAAGAAGGCAAAATGGTTGTCTGCTGAGACACTGGAAGTAGCCCAAGAAAGGAGGAAAGCAAAAGGAAAGAGTGATGAGGGGAGATATGCCCAGTTAAATGCGCAATTCCAGAGGTTAGCCAGAAGAGATAAGGAACTATTTTTAAATAAGCAATGCATGGAAGTGGAAGAAGACAACAGAATAGGAAGGACAAAAGACCTCTTCCAGAAAATTAGAAACATTGGAGGTAAATTTCAGGCAAAAATTGGTATGATAAGAAACAAAGATGGCAGGGACCTAACAGAAGCTGAAGAGATCAAGAGAAGGTGGCGAGACTATACAGAAGATCTGTATAGGAAGGATAATAATATTGAGGATAGTTCTGACGGTGTGGTGAATGAATTAGAACCAGACATCCTGAGGAGTGAGGTTGAATGGGCCTTAAGAAGCATTGCTAACAACAAGGCAGCAGGAGATGACGGGATCCCAGCTGAACTGTTTAAAATCTTAAAAGATGATGCTGTCAAGGTGATGCATGCCATTTGCCAGCAAATATGGAAAACACAAGAATGGCCATCAGACTGGAAAAATCAACTTATATCCCCATACCAAAAAAGGGAAATGCGAAAGACTGCTCCAACTGCCGTACAGTGGCCCTTATTTCTCATGCCAGTAAGGTAATGCTCAAGATCCTGCAAGGAAGACTCCAGCAATACATGGAGCGAGAGTTGCCAGATGTTCAAGCTGGGTTTAGAAAAGGCAGAGGAACGAGAGACCAGATTGCCAATATCCGCTGGATAATGGAGAAAGGCAGGGAGTTTCAGAAAAACATCTACTTCTGCTTCTTTGACTATTCTAAAGCCTTTGACTGTGTGGATCATAATAAATTGTGGCAAGTTCTTAGTGGGATGGGCATCCCAAGCCACCTTGTCTCTCTCCTGAGGAATCTGTACAAGGACCAAGTAGCAACAGTCAGAACTGACCACGGAACAACAGACTGGTTCAAGATTGGGAAAGGCGTATGTCAAGGCTGCATACTCTCACCCAACCTTTTTAACTTGTATGCAGAACACATCATGCGATGTGCGAGGCTTGATGAATGCAAAGCTGGGGTGAAAATTGCTGGAAGAAACATTAACAACCTCAGATATGCAGATGACACCACTGATGGCCGAAAGCGAGGAGGAGCTGAGGAGCCTTCTAATCAAGGTGAAAGAAGAAAGCGCAAAAGCCGGGTTGCAGCTAAATGTCAAAAAAACCAAGATTATGGCAACAAGAATGATTGACAACTGGGAAATAGAGGGAGAAAATGTGAGGCCGTGACAGACTTTGTATTTCTAGGCGCAAAGATTACTGCAGATGCAGACTGTGGCCAGGAAATCAGAAGACGCTTACTTCTTGGGAGGAGAGCAATGTCCAGTCTCGATAAAATAGTAAAGAGTAGAGACATCAGACTGGCAACAAAGATCCGCCTAGTCAAAGCCATGGTATTCCCTGTAGTCACCTACGGATGTGAGAGCTGGACCTTAGGGAAGGCTGAGCGAAGGAAGATCGATGCTTTTGAACTGTGGTGTTGGAGGAAAGTGCTGAGAGTGCCTTGGACTGCGAGAAGATCCAACCAGTCCATCCTCCAGGAAATAAAGCCTGACTGCTCATTGGAGGGAAGGATATTAGAGGCAAAGATGAAGTACTTGGCCACATCATGAGGAGACAGGAAAGCCTAGAGAAGACAATGATGCTGGGGAAAGTGGAAGGGAAAAGGAAGAGGGGCCGACCAAGGGCAAGATGGATGGATGGCATCCTTGAAGTGACTGGACTGACCTTGAAGGAGCTGGGGGTGGTGACGGCCGACAGGGAGCTCTGGCGTGGGCTGGTCCATGAGGTCACGAAGAGTCGGAGACGACTGAACGAATGAACAACAACACAAATCCCAATAGATAATATTCTGGTTTCTTCTTAAAAGGATATTATTTGAGAACACAGAAATGCTGGACCACTCTCACAACCAACATGTCAGACTACACAGAGAAGCCATTGAAATCCACAAGCATGTGGACAATTTCAACAGAAAGGAGGAAACCATGAAAATGAACAAAATCTGGCTACCAGTATTTAAAAAACTCTAAAATCAGGACAGTAAAGAAATAGCAACACTCAGGAAACAGAGGAATTCCAGACAAGAATCACTCAGACCCAGCTAACACCTCCCAACAAAGGATTCCCCTGAGCAGGGAGGAGCCAGACTTTGAAGCTGCCAGGCCATTCAACGCTAATCAAAATAGCCAATTGCAACATTCACACTTGCCTCCAACAGACAAGAGTTCTTTCTCCCACCCTGGATGTTATTCCACAGATATATAAACTCTAAAAAACAGGGAAAATCCAGACAAGAATCAGTCAAGCCCAGCTAACACCTCCTAACAAAGGATTCCCCTGAGCAGGAAGGAGCCAGACTTTGAAGCTGCAAGGCCATTCAATGCTAATCAAGGTGGCCAATTGCAACATTCACACTTGCCTCCAACAGACAAGAGTTCTTGCTCCCACCCTGGACCTTCCACAGCCAGGCTTTGAAGCTGCAAGGCCATTCAATGCTAATCAAGCTGGCCAATGGCAACATTCACACTTGCCTTCAACAGACAAGAGTTCTTTCTCCCACCCTGGACGTTATTTCACAGGGAAATGCATAAGTTGCTTCAGCCGCCCCTGATGCAGCCCTATACTTCTCTGTATGCAGCCGCATGTGGCTGCATGTCATAGAAAATGGCCAGGCGTGTCAATGCTGACACGCGTGTCACAGGTTCGCCATCATGGGTGTAACAGAATAATAATATTGCTATGCAATAGTATAATAGAACAGACTAATATAGTATAATAATATAATTTACGAAATATATTACAATTTATAGACTAGATTATAAACTATAATATAATAGTATATTAGAGTAATAGAAATATTATATATATATATGCTCTGTTTGTTTTTAGTGACATCATAACTCAAAAACTGCTGGACAAATTGACACCAAATTTGCCCACAACACACCTACTAACTCAGAAACCCCCCCAAAAAACACAGTGACAGGGACTTAAACCCCCCCCCCCCAAACCTAGAATACACTACAGTGAATGTGCGCAAACAACTTGTCGTCCCCCGTCCCCCCGGGCGGGAGGGAAAACAAACCAAACAGCTATCCCACCTCTCTCAAGAAGAGACTGCAGAGGAGACCATCTGTAGGGAGGGTTTTGATTGTGTCTTCCTTTACGGCAAAAGGAGGTTGGATTGGATGGCCTCCCCAGGTCCGTCTGGCAGAGGAGAATCTCCCAAGTGGCAGGAAATGTTAGGAATTGCGGGAGTTGGAGTCCAAAACCCCTAGAGGGCCCAAATTTGCCCCTTCCTGGTCTACACCATGGAGTTACTCCACAGCATTGAGCCATGGCAGTTAAAGGGGCCCCATAGGCCATCCAGCCCAACCACATTTTGCAGTAAATGGAGACACCATCAAAGCCCTCCCGACAGATGGCCATCCAGTTGGAAAGGAGCCCCAAAAGCCATCCAGTCCAACCTCATTTGGAAGTAAAGGAAGGCACCATCAAATCCTACCCGACAGATGGCCAACCAGTTGGAAGGGAGCCCCAAAGGCCCATCCTGGCTGGTCAAGGAAGGCAGAGAGGGTTTGGCAGAGAGGGTAAAGGTGGTGGTTAATGCCTCCCTTCGGGAAGGCATCATTCCAGCCAGCCTAAAACATGCTGCTATAAAACCGCTGTTGAAAAAACCATCACTGGACCCTACTCTATTCGTCAACTTTTGGCCAGTTTCCAATCTCCCCTATTTGGGCAAAGTCCTGGAACGTGTGGTGGCCTCGCAACTCCAGGAGTTCCTGGTAGACATGGATTATCTAGATCCGGCGCAGTCTGGCTTTAGGCCGGGGCATGGTACCAAGACAGCCTTGGTCGCCTTAGTGGATGATCTTCACCGGGAACTGGACAGGGGGAGTGTGTCCCTGTTGGTTCTGCTGAACCTCTCAGCGGCCTTCAATACCGTCGACCACGGTATCCTTCTGGGACGCCTCGCAGGGATGGGCCTTGGGGGTACTGCTTTGCAATGGCTCCAGTCCTTTCTCGTGGGGCGATCCCAGAAGGTGTCGCTAGGGAACTCCTGCCCGACCCCACGGCCATTGTCCTGTGGAGCCCTGCAGGGTTCAATATTGTCCCCTGTGTTATTTAACATCTACATGAAACCGTTGGGAGAGATCATCCGGAGTTTCGGGGTGCGGTGTAATCTTTACGCAGATTATGTCCAACTCCGTTACTCCTTTCCACCTACTACTAAGGAAGCTGTTCAAGTCCTGAACCGGTCCTTGGCCGCTGTAACGGACTGGATGAGGGCCAACAGATTGAAACTAAATCGAGACAAGGCAGAGGTACTCCTGGTCAGTCGAAAGGCCGAACAGGGCATAGGGTTACAGCCTGTGCTGGACGGGGTCACATTCCCCCTGAAGGCGCAGGTTCGCAGCTTGGGAGTGATCCTGGACTCATCGCTGAGCCTGGAACCCCAGGTTTCGGCGGTGGTCAGGGGAGCTTTTGCACAATTAAAACTCGTGCGCCAGCTGTGCCCGTACCTTGGGAAGTCTGACTTGGCCACGGTGGTCCACGCTTTGGTTACATCCTGTTTAGATTACTGCAACGCTCTCTACGTGGGGTTGCCTCTGAAGACTGCCCGGAAGCTTCAATTAGTCCAACGTGCGGCAGCCAGACTACTAACGGGAGCGGGGTACAGGGAGCATACTACTTCTCTGTTGCGCCAGCTCCACTGGCTGCCAGTCAGCTTCCGATCACAATTCAAAGTGCTGGTCTTAACCTATAAAGCCCTAAACGCCTCCGGCCCAATTTACCTGTCTGAACGTATCCTCCCCTATGAGCCATCAAGATTACGAAGATCGTCTGGAGGGGCCCTGCTCTCGATCCCACCGGCCTCACAGGCGCAGCTGGTGGGGACGAGAGACAGGGCCTTCTTGGTGGTGGCCCCTCGACTCTGGAACTCCCTTCCACTGGAGATCAGAACTGCCCCTTCGATCTTAACGTTCAGGAAACAGGTGAAAACCTGGCTTTGGGGATTGGCATTCAACGAATGAGCCATGATCCTGTTATATGGATGGATGACAATGAATAATGACTTTGATGACGACTGACCACTGTAATCATATGATTGTATTTTTGCCATTTTAATTGTTTCAATGTTTTAATGTTTTAGTGTGATTTAGAAATATGATGTTTTAATGACGGTCTGTAATATTGATGTTGGAAACCGGCCCGAGTCCCTCGAATGGAGGTGAGAAGACCGGTATACAAAACTACCAAATAAATAAATAAATAATCCCGTCCAAGCCTTAAAGGTGTGTGTGTGTTTGTGTCTGTCTGTCTTCCAACTCTGACCATCCATCTACCATTCCTATCTATCTATGATCTATCCATCTACCTTCTATTCTATCTATCAAGGTCCCTTCCATCTGTCCCTTCTGTCTATTGTTTCATGCCTGGAATTCCTCTGTTTTCTGAGGGCCACAGCAACGCGTGGCAGGGGATGGCTAGTATAATATTAAAATATTATATTATAATAATATACTATGGTAATATAATATAATATAATATATTTGATGTTATAATATTATATTATAGTAGAATATTTATTTATTTTATTTACTTTATTTATATACCGCTTTTCTCAGCCCTCCGGTGACTCAAAGCGGTGAACAACATCAATACAAAACATCACGAGACAAGTATAGGGCAATAGGGAATAGTATAATATAATAGTAGATTAATATAATAATGGTAAAATATAGTAATATAATGGTATAAAATTATAATAATTGAATAGTATAATATTATACTATAGTAATAATATAATATACTAATATAATAGTATAGTATAATGTTACAATATAATAGTGTAATATAATAGTATAAATAGCATAATATAATATTATAATATAATCTATCTATCTATCTATACACATATTAAAAGTGAAAATCTGTATGTGTGTATTCGGCAGGGGTGTCCACTTACATACATGCCTCCCGCCTCCAGAAACAGCTATAACCCAGTGCTGAGGAGATACCAAAAGCACTCTGCCAATGACATTGAAAGTTATAGTGAGTGCCACATCCCAGTGTTCCTTTTTTCTCTCCATTGGTGTGAAATTTGCATGACCCCAGCCCACTGCCTCTCCCTTAACCTTTTCCTACCCTTTCCTGTGGAATATAGCAAACAGAGGAATTACCAGCAACTGAACATACTGGAGGGGTTTGGGGGACTGACTCAATAGAATGGAAGTTGTAGTTCACCCTGCATCAAGTCAGACCACTGTGACTCCCACTGACAATGGACCTGGACCACATTTGGCGCACAGAACTCCCATGACCAGGTTTGGGGGCAATTGACCTTGATTTATAGAAGTTGTAGTTCAACTACATCCAATGATGGATCTGGACCACACTTGCCATGGATGATGGAACTTGAAGTACCTTCACTCACTCCCAGAGACAACTGCTACCCCCATGAATGACGGACCAGGACCAAACTTGGCACGCAAACCCCCATGACCCACCTCACATCCAGAGAAACTGGGACTCTCACCGACAATGGACCGGGACCAAAATTTGGCACAGAGAAACTCCATGACCAACTGAACATACTGCAGGGTTTTCTAAGAATTGACCTTGACTTTGGGAGTTGTAGTACAACAGCATCCAGAGAAACAGTGGCCATCACCAACAGTGGACCATGACCAAACTTGGCACAGAGAAGCCCCATGACCAACTGAACATACAGCAAGGGTTTGTGGGAATTGACCTTGGTCTTGGGAGTTGTAGTTCACCTGCATTCAGAAAGCACTGAACCCAGCCGATGTCAGATCTGGACCAAACTTGGTGCACAGACCCAACATGGCCAACTTCGACTACTGGTGGGGTTTGGGGTGAATGACCCATGATTTTGGGAACTGTAGTTCACCCACATCCTTATGCATTTTCTCATGTAAACATTAATAAAAAGCAACAGGAAATACTGGCTTTTTAAAATAGAGCTACAAATTACCAAACTGATTATTACCTAACAACCCAAAACAAACAATGCTTTTTTCAAATAACCTGGGCACCACCAGGTCCCCAAGCTAGTAATATATAATAATAATAATAATAATAATAATAATAATAATAATAGAAGGCAGAGAAGGCTCAAGGCCTTGCCAAACTTGTAAAACATAGTACTGAGCCAAGGCAATTCAAGTGGATTCATTCTCAGCATAGATAGTGATGAACTTATTTTTGCCAATGCAGTTTGAAGGCTCATGAGACTCGAGGACATGCATGCAGGCTCACCCAGATCTGCAGCTTGATGCGTTTGTCATTGCGGTAGATGGTCTTGACTTTGAAGTCGATGCCGACAGTGCTGACGAAGGCCGGGGTGAAGGAGTCGTCAGCGTACCGGAAGAGGAAGGAGGTCTTGCCCACGCTGCTGTTGCCGATGATGAGAATCTTGAACATGTAATCGAAGTTCTGATCGGAAGACTCCTTCTGGCCATAGCGGGCATCGGTGGCGGACGCCATCTGCGGAGGGAGAAGAGGAAGGGGGAGGTCAGCCATGAATTCACACAGGCAGGGAAAGAGAGTCCAACTCAACAACAGGTTAAGAGCCACCATTCGACAGTGGGTGGGACTGGGGGGGATCCTTGGGGTCTCTTTCAGATCCATGAATCAATCCTGAATTGATCTATCTCTCACTCCCTCCATCCATCTCTCTATCTATGTATCTGTCTGTCTTAAGGGGTTGGGTTGATGGGTCTTGGAGTCTATCTCCCTTCTATCTATCTATCTATCTATCTATCTATCTATCTATCTATCTATCTATCTATCTCCATCCATTCCTCCAGCCACTTCCCTATCTCTTCATCCCTCCATCCATTTCTCTATCCATCCACCCATTCCTCCACCCACTTCTTTATCTTTCTATCTAGCTATCCATCTATCCCTCCCTATAATAATAATAAACCTTTATTTATACCCCGCTACCATCTCCCAGAGGACTCGGTGCGGCTTACAAGAGGCCAAGCCCAATTACATCAATCCATCCACTTCTCTCTCCCTCTCTCCATCCATCCCTCCACCCACTTCTTTATCTTTCTATCTAGCTATCCATCCATCTATCCCTCCCTCCCTCCATCCATCCCTCCACCCACTTCTCTATCTATCTAGCTATCCCTCCCTCCATCCACTTCTCTCTCTCTCTCTCTCTCTCTCTCTCTCTCCCCCTCCCCCTCTATCTATCCATCCATCTATGGATTCTATCTAGCTATTTCTTACAACTCTAAGGTTATATCCATCCATCCATCCACTTCCCTATCTATCCATCCAGCAATTCATCCACTTCTTTCTCCCTCTTTCTTTATCCATCCATCTGTTCCTCCACCCACTTCTCTCTCTCTCTCTCCATCCCTCCATCCATTTCTCAGTCTATCTATCTGTCTATCCGAAGGGGTTGATGGCCCTTGGAGTTTATTTCCCTTTAATCTGTCTATCCACTTGTCTATCTATCTCTCCATCCCTCCATCCAGTTCGCTCTCTCTCTCTCTCTCTCTCTCTCTTAAGGGGTTTTAAGGGGTTGGGTTGATGGGCCTTGGAGTCTATCCCCATATCCATCCATCCATCCATCCATCCACCTACCTATCAATCTCTCTTCTATCTTAAGGGAAATGAATTGCATGGTCCTTGGGGTCTCTTCCAGTTTTAGGGATGTTATCGATCTATCTATTGATCCATCATATCTATCTATCTCTCTCTCTATCTTAAGGGGCTGGACTGGATGATGCTTGGGGTCCCTTCGAACTCTAGGAAAAAAGGCACCTAAAAATAACAAAAAACAGAAATGCCTTGAAAAGTGATCTGGAGAGCGGCTGCCTTTAAATGGTCAAAATTTAAAATCAAGTGTGTAAAAGCAAAACATTGCACAGAAGACAGTGGCGCAATGTCAAGAAACCCATTGGCACAAACCAGAAGAAGCCAACAAACTGCAAGTAGAAGAATATAAAGAACAACTACAACCCAATACACACACACACACACACAAGTGAAAATCTGTATGTGTGTATGTGGCTGGGGTGTCCACTTACATAGACAAGCTCCTGCTCCCACAAACAGCTCTAACTCCCCCCATTCAGGACACACCAATGGCCCTCCCTCCAATGACATTGCAGGTTGTAGTGAGCGCCATGAACATGTCCAAGAGCCTGGCCAATGTCCCCCCCAAACACCATTGTGCCCACCACCTGGGTGAAGGCTTTCATACAAGGACAATTTCATTCTAGATTTTATATGTTACCTCCACCAGACATCCCAGGGTTCCTTTCTCTCTCCATTGGTGTGAAATGTGCATTACTCCATCCACTGCCTCTCCCTCAACCCTTTCCTATTCTTTTCTATGGCACACAGCAGACAAAGAAATTGATCAGCAATTGAACATACTAGAGAGGTTTGGGGAGAATTCACCATGATTTATAGGAGTTGTAGGTACTGAGATGTATAGTTGACCAGCAATCTAAGAGCACTCTGAACTCCACCAACAATGGAACTGGAAATAACTTGGCACACAGAACTCCCATGACCGACAAAAAACACTGGATGTCTCGGGAGGGATTTATAGGTGTTCACCTACATCCAGAGCGGACTATGAACCCAAACAACGATGGATCTGGAACAAACTTGGCGTGCATACTCAATATGCCCACATTTGAATACTGGTGGGAATTGGCCTAAACATTTTGGAGTTGTAGATACTGGGATGTATAGTTCACCTGCAATCAAGGAGCACTCTGAACTCCACCAGGGATGGAATTGGACCACACTTGGCACACAGAGCCGCAATGACCAGTAAAAAATACTGGTGAAAATTCACCTTGATTTGGGGGAGTTGTAGTTGTAGATAGCAGTGTGAACCCAAACACCAATGGATCTGGATCATACTTGGCACACATACCTGATATGCCAACATGTCATTACTGGAGGGATTTGGGGGGAACTGACCTTCCTTTCTGGGAGCTGTAGTTCACCCACAACCAGAGAAACTGTGACCTCCACCCATGATGGACCTGGACCAAACCCGGCACACAGAACCCCCATGATTAACCCGAACTACTGGAGGGGTTTGAGGGGATTGACTCACCATAGTGGGAGTTGTAGTTTACCCTGCAGCCACAGAGCACAGTGAACCCCACCAATGATGCATCTAGAGCAAAGTTGCGCAACATAACAAACTTTAAATACTGATGGAGTTTCTCAGGGTTAACCTGGCATCATGGTAGTTGTAGTTCACACACAAACGTATGCATTTTGTCCAATTAAAAAAAACTGACTTTCTCAAATAACCTACTGAAGGGGTTTGAGAGTATGGACTCACCATAGCGGGAGTTGTAGTTTACCCTTCAGCCAGAGAGCACACTGAACCCCACCAATGATGCATCTAGAGTAAACTTGCCCATCATAACAAACTTTAAATACTGATGGAGTTTCTCAGGGTTAACCTGGCATGATGGGAGTTGTAGTTCACTCACAAACTTATGCATTTTATACAATTAAAAATTGACTTTTTCAAATAACCTACTGAAGGGGTTTGAGAGGATGGACTCACCACAGCGGGAGTTGTAGTTTACCCTTCAACCAGAGAGCACACTGAACCCCACCAATGATGCATCTAGAGCAAACTTGCCCATCATAACAAACTTTAAGTACTGATGGAGTTTCTCAGGGTTAATCTGGCATGATGGGAGTTTTTTTTTTTTTTTTGTCGTGTCAGGAGTGACTCCTAGTGTGAGAGAATTGGCCGTCTGCAAGGACATTGCCCAGGGGACGCCCGAATGTTTTGATGTTTTTATCATCCTTGTGGGAGGCTTCTCTCATGTCCCCGCATGAGGAGCTGGAGCTGATAGAGGGAGCTCATCCGCCTCTCCCCAGATTCGAACCTGCGACCTGTCAGTCTTCAGTCCTGCCGGCACAGGAGTTTAACCCACTGCGCCACCGGGGGCTCCATATGATGGGAGTTGTAGTTCAACCACAACCTTATCCCTTTTGTACAATTAAAAATTGACTTTCTCAAATAACCTACTGAAGGGGTTTGAGGGGATGGACTCACCATAGTGGGAGTTGTAGTTTACCCTTCAGCCAGAGAGCACACTGAACCCCACCAATGAGGCATCTAGAGCAAACTTGCACAACATAACAAACTTTAAGTACTGATGGAGTTTCTCAGGGTTAACCTGGCATGATGGGAGTTGTAGTTCACCCACAACCTTATGCATTTTGTACCCTTAAAATCGAGTTTTTCAAATAGCCTGGGCAATGCCAAGCTAGAATATAATAAAAGGAAGCAACCAAAGCAAACCTCAGAAAAGCCTGTGAAGAATGGTTCCCCTTCGGCTGTAGGATTCCTAAGAGGGGAAGATTACAGCAGCCCTATTTTCCTTCGAGGGATAAAACAACAAATAAATGCAATTTATGTGCTGCAGGGCCCTCCATTTTCTGCGTATTTTGCTTCGCAAAAAGGCAGAGCTAAGCAGGTTTCTAAACCGCAGAGAAAGACAATTAAGCTAATTGGGTGGATCAGCTCTTCACCACCGACAGCTTGACCCCGAAATGGGTTTTCATATGTCTTTCAATCTATGTCTTTTCATTAAATAATAATAATAATAATAATAATAATAATAATGTTTATTTATACCCTGCTTTTCCTCTCCACAAGGAGACTCAAAGTGGCTATGTATCTATTATTAGTATTAGAACACTGTTTCTCAATTTTCCTAATGCCACGACCCCTTAATACATTTCCTCATGTTGTGGTGACCCCCAACCATAACACTGTTTTCGTTGCTAATTTATAATTGTAATTTTGCTCCTGTTATGAATCGTCATGTCAATATCTGATATGCAGGATGTATTTTCATTCACTGGACCAAATTTGGCACAAATACCCGATACGCTTAAATTTGAATACTGGTAGAGTTAGGGGGGATTGATTTTGTCATTTGAGAGTTGTAGTTGCTGGGATTTATAGTTCACCTACAATCAAAGAGCATTCTGAACCCAACAACGAGAGAATGGAACCAGTCTTGGCACACGGAACTCGCATGACCAACAGAAAATACTGGAAGGTTTGGTGGGCATTGATCTTGAGTTTTGGAGTTGTAGTTCACCTACATCCAGAAAGCGCTGTGGAATCAAACAATGATGGATCTGGACCAAACTTGGCACAGATACTCAATATGCCCAAATGTGAACACTGGTGGAGTTTGGGGAAAATAGACCTTGATATTTGGGAGTTGTAGTTGCTGGGATTTATAGTTCACCTACAAACAAAGAGCATTCTGAACCCCACCAATGATAAAATTGGGTTAAACATTCCATACAGAGCCCCCCATGCCTTGAAGGGACTCGCTGGTGTGAGTCTCCCTCCAGCCTGACATGCTCTCCCTCGCCTACATATGTGAACCACGCTGCCATGCGCCAAGGACATTACTCTCCTCGCCTCCGCTGAGAGGCCAGCCAATCACAGCGGAGGAGGG